TGAATAGATAGTGGAAAGAAACAATCAAATTAATCTTCCAATGAGAACTTAGAAAGAAAAAAGTTCATATGATTAAATAAGAAGCTTTTGTTTATGTTTTCTAATATTTAGATAAGGTACTATCGATGAAATGAATACTTTCTAGATTTCACAAAGTATTCTTAAATTTAATCAACATTCACTACAAATAAAACAGAATCAACTTTTCTCTAAACTTTGTATTTTCAAGTAAAAGAAAACATTTCAATCGATCTAATATTGCACATCATTACTCTTTGAAATCAAGCATAAAATATCAATAGATTATTGATAATTCGATATAATCATATTTTATATATCTTAGTATTAAAAAAAACATCTTGGAAAATTCTTTTAACTTACATCTTGAATATGTGATTTAATTTCTGAAAATAGATTAATAAATTTCATATATGTTGATAAAAGTAAACAACGAGTTGTTTATGAACATAAATGATATTTTGAATGAAGTAAATCAAATTGAATCATTGGTCTATTAAACAAAAAAAAAACGAAGAAGACTTTTCAATAAAAAATACTTTTTCTTTTCATACGTTGATCTTGGATCAAATGCAATTAAATTTCAATATTCACCAAGAATATATCTAGCTACTTTAACCATATTTTCATGGCAAGCTGGTGCTTGTAATGCTTCAAAGGCAATTTTAGCTGCATAACTTTGTACATCATTTCTATTAACAACAACTTGAATAACATGATACCAAACCTAATTCAAAAAGTTTTTTTTTCGCATATTAAAAAGAAAATTTTTTTTACTTCTTCAGAAACAAAATCACCAGCTATACGAATTAATTTAAGCATTACATCTAAATACCATTTATAATCAATTGCATATTTTCCACTAAGTATTGCAATTTTAAGAACCTTGAAAAAAGCAAAATTTATTTCAAAACAAAAAACAAAAAATTAATGAAATAAATATGATATACCATTTCTTCTCGAATTGTATAATCAGCTGTTTCAAGATATGTTAACATTTCTTGTACAATATCTTGTGCATTTGATCTATCACACATTGCATAAAGAAGATCAACCGCACGTTGACGAACACCAACATCACGTTCACTCTAAACATAAATAATCTTTTGTTTTTATTTCCATCTATTCAGACAAAATATATTGATTTATTTTCGAGTTGATTTAGCAAAAAGATATATTTCAGGTTTTTGAGAAGCCATATGATAGGTGTAAAGATATAGAAAAAGGTCTGTACTTGCAATTTGAATCAGTAACATTAAGTAGTAAAATGCGTATTTCTATTCATTAGAAAAATTTTGAAAATCTGAATAATCATTGATTTTTGACGATTTTTCCGTCTGTAAATTGTAGTTAGTCAATCGACACTATTACATAAACTATGTATTAGTACCAAGATATAATAAAGCGATGAACTTCGTTTTATCTATAATTACACTCTATTCTCATGTCAGGTATTAGATGAAAACATACAGATCGGTTCCGACCGGAAAAATCTGGAAATAGTTGGAACTTGAAAGCAGGCATACAATGTCCAAATCTAACGACTGACTTTTCTACGTCCGCAGAGAACCAACTATAGCGAGTTGCCGGATACAAACATCATTCTCCGGAAGTTTCCAGCCGGTTCCTATCGGAAAATTGGTGAAATGAACTGTTAGAATCATTAACCTGACAAGAGTAACAAGTTCTCATGATGTATACAGTAGATAGACCAATTAATCGTTGATACTCAATTCTATTTATAATGCATATGAATTAGAAGTTAGGATTATATGTATTGATTAAAATCTACTAACAGTTTCGCTTTAATTTATTTATTGCCAATCATTTAAAAAACAATAAGAATTAATTATGAATACACTACAAAGAAAAAACATTCGAAACAGAACTAATCTTTGTTGTTTTAAAATAAGAGTTTCGAATTTTTCAATTTACAGTACTAATGAACTTTGAAATATTCTTGTACATTCACTCTTTATCATTTTATTATTGTAAATGTTATGAGTTTTAGTTTCATAAGACAAAACTAAAGAACTGTAATTGAGTATATCTTTTATATTAATCTGAACTTATGACTGACATCTTAATGACTAAAAAATACCACAGAGAGATTTATAAACATGTCTTTTGTAGTAACAAAATACTGAATAACATATTCTACTACATATTAATTTTACATCATCATGAAAAATATTTCTATTCATTTTGTTTTCATAATTGTCATCTATTCGAAATTATTTATGCATTATTTTTTTTTGTTTTACATATTGATCAATGCTAGGCAATGTGATAAAATAGAAATTTTTATGTGTAACATGACATTCACTTATTTTTATAACCTTGGGCAGATCAATAAAAACACAAAAAAAAATCTTTTTTTTATTATTGTTCTTTCTTACTTTTAATGCATTAATAACTGTTTCTTGATGTTTTTTAACAGCTTCATGTGAAAATTCTGATGTTGCTAATAAACACATACTTTCCAATGCAAGATAACGAAGATTTGTTTCACGATTTTGTAAAAATTGTCCAAGTTGGTTACATGCACGTACAAGTAATGTTGATTCACAATCCATATGTATAATAAGATTAATTGCTTCAAATAAAACAGCATTACGTATATTTGAATGTTGAACTTTCTTAGATTTTAATGGTTCTTGTGCTTTATTAAGCATTATGTCAAGACATTCATTTAAACGACTTCGAATTGATCGATCATCTAATATTTTAAAAATGAAATAAATAGAATGAGATCCTTTTTCTGACTGTTTGATATATTACCTGGTGATGGATAATTTTGAAGTAAACGTAATAATTTAACACAAAGCCATAGTGCTGAAACAAAATAATAAGTATAATCTTGAAAATCCGTATATGATGAAGTAACAATCTATAAAAATTAAAATATTTCATTTTCTTGTTAATATTCAAAAAAACATACTTTGCTTAAACGTGAAACAGCCAAACTAATACAACCTTTATATTCATCTGGATTACGTTTAACAAGTGCATCAATTAAACTAACTGCTGATGTTGCTGTACCCTGACAAAAAAAAATTCAAACATTATATATATATATATGAAATTAAAAAAAAATCTATTTACTAAATGTTGATGATTAAGAAGATGAATAATTCTTCCAGTCCGTTCAGTATTTAAATGTAATGATTCTGGACTTGTACGATGAAGTCTTAATAAACAAAGAGCAGCTGATTGCTTAACAGAATCAATGATATCTCTATGAACAAAAAAGAAATAAATTTTAAAAATAATTAAATATTTTTGTTAAACAAACCCTGATATAATAAACGAGGAATTTCATTTGTAAATGCAGCTGCCATTTCTTTATCACCAATATTAACAACACATTGTAAAGCTAAATTAATAAATATTGGATTTTGACTTTGTATATCATTACGAATATTTTGTATAATTAATTGTTTCATTTCTATATTTGAATTCATAATAACAGAAATAAATAAATAACCATAAAATAGAAAATAAATTTACGATATATATTTTTTAAATCATTTTATAATACGAACAATTTGTTTTTCAGTATATTTATTTGAACTTAATAAATTAACTGCCTCCATATAACCAAAATCGATATCATGACCAAGTAAAAAAATAAATAATAATTTGCAAACATATTTTTTCTTTTGATATCCATCAAGAGTTTTATCGGCTAAAAAATTTATTTGTATATTAAAAAGTTCTTTTTCTTTTATTAAATTAAATCCAACCTCGAAATCTCTGTCGAATATTTGTTAATTCTTTATTAATACGTCGTAATTCTGCTTCACGACTTTTACCTAATTTAAATATATATATAAAATAAAAGATTTCCAATCTTTCTAATAATATTTTTATCTTACAATTTCGAATGTCTGATATAAAAACAGCTAAACCTCTCATAGCATCTCCACTCATGTTTGGCATTTGATTATAATTTTATCAAGAATTAACAGATAATAAAAATAAACAATAAAGAAAACGAAAGAAGGAAAAATAACGATTTTTATTTGCTTTTATTTGATTGGGGATTATATTAGCGATATCATTTCATTTTGAGGGTAATGATAATTGGCCGAAGCCGAAGGCCGAAGTATCCTAATGTGCCGATTGGCTGTTTGACTTTTGAACATGCAGCGCTTAAAAAGTGCCATTAATCTTAAGAGATGGCGCCCTTATATGATACGTATTCAGGAACGGCGCGAAGAGGTCAGAGCAGGAGGGGGGGGTATCCCGAAAATCGGAGCCTCCAACCCCAAAAAGTCAAAATTGAAGAGCAAAAAAAACGTTCCTACTGTTGAAATTCGGAGGAAGTCTCCAAACTTTTTTGGTTGTCATCGCTTTCCTTTCGAAGCAGACTTTCCGACATTCCTTCGACTACTCTGACCGCACTTCATACAATATTATAGCGATGGTTCCAACAAAAATCTGATTTTTTCTTTTTTTTTTCAAAATTTTATTCTTCGTTCAGTTATCGTTAACATCCACGTATCACATATTGCTATTGATGACAGATGCATCTAGTTATAATACTAATTTCTCGCTTAAACACGAACTTAGATTATTGATGTAGTTTAAAAATCTCAAGAACCGAAAAAAAATAGTAGAATAGATTTCTTCAAACTTAGATTTTTGCCAAATTTAGGGTCGATTGTCTACTATTTTTCTCCAAGATCGGAGAAAATTGACTACGGTAGTTCTCCAAAATCGGAGAAGATTGTCTACTATGGCTCCCCAAAATTGGAGAAAATTCTGTACTATAATTCTCCAACATCCAAGAAAATTGTGTACTTTAACTCTCCAAAATCGGAGAAAATTGTGTACTGTAGTTCTTCAAGATCGGAGAAAATTGTTTATTGTATTTCTCGAAAATCGGAGAAAATGGTCTACTGTAGTTCTCCAAAATCGGAGAAGACTGTCTACTGTACTTCTCCAAAATTGGAGAAAATCGTCTACGGTAGTTCTCCAAAATCGAAGAAAATGGTCTACTGTAGTTCTCCAAAATCGGAGAAAATTGTGTACTGGAGTTCTCCAAAACCGAAGAAAATTGTCTACTGTAGTTCGCCAAAATCAGAGAAAATTGTTTATTGTATTTCTCCAAAATCGGAGAACATTGTCTACTGTAGTTCTCCAAAATCGAAGGAAATTGTGCACTTTGATTCTTCAAAATCGGAGAAAATTGTCTACGGCAGTTCTCCAAAACCGGAGAAAATCGCCTAATGATCCCGTAACTTTGGAGAGAATTGGCACTACCAAAATTTTCAAATTCGGAGAAAGCTCCAGTCAAAATTTTCCAAAGCAGGAGGGGGGTGACCCCCCTACCCCCCCCGGTCGCGCCGTCCCTGTACGTATTTCACATGTTCGCATGAAAAATTAATTATTAGTTAGCCTTGTGCCTTAAATTAGAAAATGTGAGATTTACTTGACGTCAGAAAATAAGTATTTTTTTCTGTAGAAAAATTCGTTCAGATAAATCGATTCCCAATTTGTGCATTTCAGCAAGAATATGTAAAGATGTGATAATGTGTACTATTGCTTGGTGTGACAAGAATATTTTTTTAAATGGACGTTTTTTTAAAACTACTTGGATGATCACTAACTTCTTGTCAATCCTTCTTCCGTAAACAATCGATTATCATCTAGTTCGTGAGATTGTATATTATTCTATATCAATCATTTTTGTTCAATAAAAAAACGATCAGGTTTAACAAATGATGTTCATAATAGAAGAAAAAAAAAGTTCCAGCAACAGTAAAAAAATATATACATCAAAAACAAATGCACCGGAAAAACCATCTATGAAACAATTATAATAACAAAAACTTCTTGAATATCAGTGAAATGAACAAACAAACGAGTATTCAAACATAACAAGGGAATAGTGAACGAAAGTTCTACATTAGTTCTTTTTTTATTAGCAATGTAATATCGTAGTCTTGATTTTTTTATTAGCAATGTAATATCGTAGTCTTGATTTTTTTCTTAGAATGAGGAAAACCTCTAGTACAGAAATAGATAAAAAAATTTAATCTCAAATGTTTCTTGAAAGTCACAAAAATCTGAGAAAAATAGATATTATTGACTTCTTGTGCAACTGCGATAAAAATTTTCGTATGCAAATATAGGTTGTTCTGAAAATCCGAATGAAACAAGTGTGAAAGGCTTCTCAATAGTTCAAGGAATTTACAGACATTTTATTGAAAATATATTGAATAAAACTTAAATAAGTATACGACCAAACTGTAAAAATAACTATGTAAACTCGTAGAATTATCGAGGAGCTATTCACATTTTTTTCGCCAGATTTTCAGAACAGCCTATATTTGGATCAGAAAATTTTTACCGAAAATGCAGAAGAAGTCAATAATATCTATTTTTTTCAGGTTTTTGTGACTTCCAAGAAACATTAGCGATTAAACTCTTTTATCTGTTTGTGTACTAGGTATTTCTCTTACTCCATCTGTTAGAAAAATCAATATCGCCTAGATTTTGTTTTATTTTTTTTTCTTGTTTGATCAGCTTGAAAAACATCGACCCTAAAAATACAAAATACAATCATGGAAAGATCTTAATTGAGTAAATCGATTATAACTTTACCGTTTCGTTGACTTAATGTTTTCACCGTTATTTGATTTTGCTTTCACACGTGTCATAATTGATATGTGATATGATGAAGATGGTGAATTTTCATCAGTATATATTTGATTAATCTTGAGCACGTTACTATTTACACAAAAGAAAATTACTTAAGAGCCATTGCATGTAAGCCATGACCTGGAGTGCTCAATCGACCATCTCCGATTTTGTTCATTTTTATATATGTGATAGAGGAAAGTGTTTGATGATGTTTGCCGAAAACCGCATCGAAAAATATTGATCCACTGGGTTTTTATTGAACTTCTACGAAAACTCCCAAAATCCTCGATCATGAGAAAACCGTTCATTGTTACGACTGTATCTCGAGAACGGCTAAACAGATCGAGTTGAAACTTTCTATGAACACTCATAGCTAATGATGCTATCATCAGAAAAAATTTCAAGCGAATCGCTTGTACCATTGGTTTTCTGCAAATACTCTTTGGAGGAGTGAAAATGCTAATTTTACCCAGTTTTGGGATCCTACATCTGGCGACTTAAGCATGATGGAGTCTTGAAACTTTTTTTGCAAACAGATCTTGATGATATCTTATTTCGGTAAAAGTTTCAGCTTGCCTGTGCAAAGATTTCGTTTTTAGCAACCTAAGCAAAGTCGGGTTTTTCGTAAAAAACGCGATTTAGGACGTTGGGGGTCTCAAAAAATATACAATAGCTAATGAGCGGAATACTTGACCCTGAAAGCCTCATCCTCCCCCGAAGTAGGGCGAGAAAATTTTTCTTAGTCAAAGTACTCAAAAAACG